CTGTCAGAAAATCATGCTTACAGTATCTGCACAAATAAAGAAATAATAACAGGTTTACATAACAAGGTCCCCAGATTAAAGAAACAACCCTCAAAAGAGTCAAATAGAGTGTACCCACCATGCATAACTTATAAATAAATCACGTGCCAGTGTTCAGGCCTGTATCATTCCAAATAACTCCAACGGTGGTCTCTGTGTTTAACAAATGTATGTGGAAAAGACAAATAAATCATAACCCAAGAAAGTGACATTTGTTTGCACTCCACAATTGTTAATGGATTCATCTATAGAAGTATATTAAGGCTTACAAATTACTTAAAATAAGTATATATCACAAGTGATACCTTCTGCCAGATATTAAATAGGACAAGATAAACAAGGTCGGTATCACCACTTTCAGTTGCCTTTGTCAGAGCTGTATCCTCCTCCCCAATGCTTAGGAACCTGAGACAATGATCAAAATCTCTTACAAAATGACTAAAGCCATCATTCAGTTCTTTAGAGAGACATTTCTCCAACAAAGGATTGAAAGAAATAAAAATAATGAAATAGTGGAAAAGAAAGAAGAAAGAACCTACTTGGAAGAATGTGGTTCATGTTCAACAAGCATAGCAGCCAATTTATGTCTGCCACTCTTATCTATATGAGCAGCAACTGCTGCAAAAGATATACTTTTGCATATTTTCAGCTGGACAAAAACAACAACAAAAACAAAAAAAATTTCTGTCATACTTTACAATTAGATGGCATAGAGTGAACAAAATCACCACTTCCAGGCTAAACTAAACAACTACAAAAGATAACACAAACCTTATCAAGTAAAATTTCAAGAAGAGTGATATCAGGAATTGCTAAAGAAGCTATTATCTTTGCACATGCCCAGTCCATTATCACCGCTTCCTATACAAACCCAACCAAAGAAAATGAGCATATAAATGATGTCATAGTTTGCAGTTCCAAATAGAAGGCAGCAGTTAAGTCGAAACAAAGTCAACTAGTTTTCAATAATAGTACGTGACACCTAGGCTATGAATGCATCTCAAATTCCCCTTCAAATAGTTACTAAAAATGATTCCAATTATATGAGAAACCATATCATTGCAAAATTCTCCCACCAGCATTGCAAAGAGCCACTTTTTCAACATTGGAAAGAGAACAGACCATTGGCATAGAGTCAAATACTAAACCACTAGCAGTGAACCGAAGACGTAAAAAAATATTTTAATAGAACTTGAACAAGCTTAGATGGAAAAGCCAGTGTATTTGAGCTGCATGGTGCTTGGAAATTAACATATGTTTACTAACATAACAAAAACTAGACGCATAATCACTTAATTTGCCAATGTTTAATTTATGTTGCCAATGATTAATATGGACCCCAGCCGGAAATGTGTAATATAACGTATGTTTACTAACAGAACTAAAACTAGAAACTCATCAAATAAAATACTTGTTATAAAGTTCTCAACTTTTGGCATCATTGGCACCACTTGTGGGGCACTGAAAGGTTGGATCTGGTATTCCCAATATAGGATTGTCATATTATAGCCGATTTCTTTCATATGGAAAAATACATTCAACCCACTAGTTGATGGTCCATATGAAACAAATGATATTTAAGGAAATATTTTTACAATGATGGACATTGTTAAATACATAGCAACACAGTAGTTGATGTTCCCCATTATTGATCCATTGTTCTGAAAATATGCTCAGCATGATAGGAAAAATTATTGGTTGGTTCAAAGGTGCCATGTAGCAGTATCCCAAGACCAACCAATAACTTCTCGCATGATAGTCATGTCCATTTGATTTCAATTCAAATCTACTCTACAAATACTACTAAAAAACAATTGCTCCTGCTATGAAAGCAAATAAAGACTCATCAGCCTATATTTATGGCTTCTAAATAATATGAACTTTTTTGAGTATTCCTGACAAACATGATTGCTGCATTACCATAATAACTTCCATTATGCACCACATAGTTTAGCAAAACAAGAAATCATGCTCCAATTAAGCAATGTAAAGGTATTAGGAGTGAAGTGTATAACGTTTTTGCCACTACATAGTCAAAGTTGCTATAATACAAGCACTATGACACCAATTACACAAAACAAGAAAAATATATTCCACCATGTCAAGTCAATGTGATCATATCAGCAGTGAACGATGTGAAAGAAAAAACTAGAAACTCATCAAATAAAATACTTGTTATAAAGTTCTCAACTTTTGGCATCATTGGCACCACTTGTGGGGCACTGAAAGGTTGGATCTGGTATTCCCAATATAGGATTGTCATATTATAGCCGATTTCTTTCATATGGAAAAATACATTCAACCCACTAGTTGATGGTCCATATGAAACAAATGATTTTTTAAGGAAATATTTTTACAATGATGGACATTGTTAAATACATAGCAACACAGTAGTTGATGTTCCCCATTATTGATCCATTGTTCTGAAAATATGCTCAGCATGATAGGAAAAATTATTGGTTGGTTCAAAGGTGCCATGTAGCAGTATCCCAAGACCAACCAATAACTTCTCGCATGATAGTCATGTCCATTTGATTTCAATTGAAATCTACTCTACAAATACTACTAAAAAACAATTGCTACTGCTATGACAGCAAATAAAGACTCATCAGCCTATATTTATGTCTTCTAAATAATATGAACTTTTTTGAGTATTCTTGACAAACATGATTGCTGCATTACCATAATAACTTCCATTATGCACCACATAGTTTAGCAAAACAAGAAATCATGCTCCAATTAAGCAATGTAAAGGTATTAGGAGTGAAGTGTATAACGTTTTTGCCACTACATAGTCAAAGTTGCTATAATACAAGCACTATGACACCAATTACACAAAACAAGAAAAATATATTCCACCATGTCAAGTCAATGTGATCATATCAACAGTGAACGATGTGAAAGAAACAGAGCTACAAGCTTAAACTTCATTCTAGTATGGAAAACTATTTGTAGAAGAAAAGTCATCTTCAAAATGTCACTTTTCCTTCAAATAATGCTTTGACCCTAAAGACCGCATTTAGCCTTCTAGTGAAAATCCCAGGAGGAACCTATTAAGGCCTAATAGACAAGCTATTCATGAAAATTTAAACTCAAGAATAGGATAAAATGTTAGTGTCATATAACTTAAATTGTGTTTTGATACTTTGAACTGAGTGTGGCACCCGTTATTGAAGGCTTGTTGGTTTCCTAATTCATTCAACCACAAGTTCTGCATAAAACTCTTCTTTACAAATTCCTAACAATTATGGATACCCTTCTCTTACATTTCTATAATTTTTGCTTATAAAAGTTAAGAAAAATGATATATATAATTCTTGGGCTCCTAAAAAAACTGTCGAACTAAAATATGGATTGGATGTTATTTCTAAAACTTAATGCCCAAGTTGCAGGTGGAATCATGTAACATACAAATGCACATTCTTATAATGTGCCACCAACAAGATAAGATTCCTTCGTAATTGAACAAAACAATGAACACATTGCACAATGGCACAAGGCGATCAATCATTAGAAATAATATAAAATCATATTTAATGATTAATCATTGTACACTGAGGCCAACAATAAAATTTTCTCTGTAATTGATCAAACAAATAAACACTTCAACATAATGTTGGCCAAACAACACTTTGGTGGTGGCTTGAAGTTACCTTGATGAGCTCAGTGAAAGTGATCAAAAGCCCCCAAGGATGTGGTCTATTCACAATCAGTCGTTCCAACAAAACTCGTGTTATTTGCTCCTGTATAATTTCCTGTCCAACAAGGAATGCAAAGCTGTGAGTAGATCGCATTTCGTATAACTAATGTAAAAATTCTTCACGTAACTAGTGTAATTCTCAAAGATCAAGAAGTTATTACTATTCATTCTCTAAATTTCAACCACAACATTTCAGGAGAATTCTAATTTTCTGGTTATACTTGCAGGCAAACAAATCCTATGAATCTAAATTGTAATTTATGTTCAACAGAGAGAGAGAGAGAGAGAGAGAGAGGGAGAGAGAGAGACAGACAGACAGAGAGAGAGAGAGAGAGAAACTAACCTTGTTAGCATTCACAAACAAGTAGAGAAGAACATAGGAAAAGAAACATGTATCATTGTTTGGGTAGCGTATCTGATTTGCGATTGCATGAGAAAGAGATAACACCCTTCGGAGTCAAAGTCCGCAATCAGGATCCAGAAGATGTCCATGGCAATCAAAAATACTACGGAATCATTGTTTGTCATTTGTGCAAGTGGATGTGGATTTTTTGCTTCTAGTTGTTGGACAGTCTGCAAAAAATCCCAAGAGAGGAGACAATTTTAGTGATAGTTCTGGTTTTACTGCAGGAAAAAGACATTAGTATGCAGATAGAAGAAATGCTTATAAAGCACTCCTTGTGCACTTTATGGTTGTGGTGCGCAGTAGTGTTATTACAGCTAAAATGATGCATACAACAGAAGTCCACTTTCATTTCAAATTTTCTTTTATAAGTTGCATAACAGAACCAAAGATTTATCTATAGGCCATTTACTATGTTCTGTCCATATTCTCAACGGTGAACAGTTCTAAAGAAAAATACGAACTCATACCAAATGAAGTCAAATGATGGAGAGCTCATTTTTACTGGAGATAGTTCAATAAGTTAGAAAGATATTTCAAGAACTCTAGAGCTAAAAACCACTTTATGATGGAGAGCTCATTTTTGAAAGAAAACTGGTATATTCAAACAGTGAGTTTAGCAGACTCCAACACAAGTGGGCTGAGTTAGAAAAATGAACAGAGGCATCAAATAATGTCCAAACTAAGTGAGACCAAAACCATTGGAAAGTATTTGAGTCAAGGATATTTTATCAGAAGGATGAAAAGTCTAAAAATTACACCAAGGGGGTGAAAATACAGGTTCAAGCAGTACTGGTTTGTTCTTGTCGCGTATTGGAAAAATGATCGTAACTCTCTCAATAATTAATATTTTTCTGTGATTCTTGTGTACATAGAAAGGTATCTCATATAGCTAACATTTGGCACTAGTTTCACTCCATAAGGAATTTTATTAGAGAAAATGGCATAGAAACAAAGTGAGGGTTAATTGCTACTCCCAGAAATCTGTAGGATCCAACCATAAAGAAATCAAATAATACCCGTTAGTCACTAACGTCATAATAAATAAACAAATACATAAACATGGAGGAAAAGAGAAAACTGTGCCTGAACTCACTTTGTTGTCTAGCAATCATGTGATTAGGTTACTTTACACTAAAAAATGTTACTAAACAAGACAACCAAGGTTTAATGTCTGCAATAAAATTGGAGCCTAATAGATGAAGTCAAAGTACACATACAAATACTCCCTCCGTGCCACCATGATAGTCATCTATTTAAAAAGTTCATCCTTCTGGAAGATGCAAATACAGACACACTTGAGCTTTTAAGATTAGTTCTGCAACATTGTCCCAAGTTGCTTGGCCTAATTAAAGATGCATTCAAACCTTACAAATGCATAAATTTCTATGATGACTATAATTACTGTGGTGAAATGGAAAAAATCCATGTCTTAAAAATTTTATATAGGGACAATTATTATGGGACATCCAAACAAAGAAAAGAGGGCACTCTTTGTGTGGTGTAGGAAGTATATACATTTAGGTAGAATAATGATGTCTATATATCCATTCAAAGAGAATAAACTATGCAAATACATGAAAACATCTTTAGCTTTCTTTGCAAACTGAGGAATAGGAAGAGTCACTCATCTGAAAACACATTCACCATTAAGCAGCACAAAATCAAAAAGGCATAAATTAGGGACTTTCCACACACATGAAATCCCATCACTCAAAAGTTCTTACATGGAAAGAAAAGTAAACCAAAAATGAAGGGATGTGTCATTTATTTTAATATGTTAAAGAGATTTACAAATATAAAATGCAAAACATTCAAAATTGAAACATCAGATTCACCAATAACAAAGGGTGAGTGATATCTTGTAGTTAGCATGTTGTAGCATGTATTGTTGCTCTTTGGCAGCCATAATTCCCAAGTTTGTCTCCAATTTTTCCATCTGAGCCTCATAGGGAGATACCTCATCCTCCAATAGTTGAAGGGTTCTATCCAAAAAAGAGATAAACAAAAAGTATAATCCCCACAAATATTCTAGATATATATATTTTACAATCTGTCAATGAACTGAAGGTGGAGTATACCTTTTGAGATAAGTCAGCCTTGTTATTGCCTTTCGAGTGCGATCAAGAAGAATTTTGGACTCCCTCTGTAGTTGATTCCTCTTCTCCTCGACTCCATTCTTCGTTAAAGATATATCTCCTGCTGCTACAAGAAAACTGAATGTATACTAAATAAGACCATCAAAGATTCAAAACAGAAAACTTCCCCCCAAAAAAATTAATGCAGAATGATAACCCACCTACTTAATTCAGTATCTCTTATATCCAACAAATTTGCCACAATCGCAAGAACTTGTGTTGATGCAATCACATTTGGTGGCAAACTCTCTTTTGCCAATCCCATACTCTCCAATATTTCTCTAATCCTTGCAGCTACAATCATGATCATAGCAAAACGTTGCTTAATTAGAATAGGAATATGAAAAAGAAAAAAAAGAAGCGTACAAAATCTAAAAAAAAAAGAAGAAGACCTTGGGAACGATACTCAGATGCTTTTTGGTGGAGATCGTTTGCAGCAATCAAAGCGGCTTGAGTGTTAGCTTGAGAGAGAGTGGTAAGGTTATGTAAATGAGAAATGCTCTGAGAAGTGTATTCAAAATCTGGAATGTCTTTACCGTCCCCATCAAATTGAGATACAAGCCAAGTTTTTACTTCTTCAATTTGACTGATATTGAAACTACTTCTGCTTTCAACTAGTGAATGATCATTTACAGAAATCATGTTGCTCATTCTTTGCACTAATGCTTAGTTTCGAACTTGAACTAAGATATCTTCGATATATATATATATTTTTAGTTTTGAGTTATACAAATTCTATTACTTGAACTCATCATATTGTTCTTATCAAAAAATGTTTTTAAAAAATTAACAATTAAAAAAGTATTAGTTTATATAACCTCGGAATTATACTATAATGATATGCAAGAAATGTAAGTCAGTGTAAAAACTACATAAGCGAAAGTTGTGTCTACAATTCATTGGATTATGAAGTAATAATCATAATGGGATATCAAAAATTCCAATGATTAGTCATTTTGATTCTTCATAAATTGGGTTTTGAAGATTGATGAACAGAGTATTTGTTGAATTAGTAAATTGGCAAAACAAACAAAAGTAGATGATAGAACATACGTACCTGAGTGTGGCTCACATACACTAGTGCATCATTTGATTCATTTTGTATCACATATATATATATATATATATAGAGAGAGAGAGAGAGAGGGAGAGAGCAGCGGCAGCGAGGGAGGGAGGCATGACTTTTGAAGCAACTTTTTAATTGTTGCCAAGTCTGTATGCATTTTAATTCGGAATTTGGTTTTAAAAGTAACTAAAAGATTACCCCAAAATAAATAAACTAGACAGTCCACTCTTGAAATTTAAAAAATATATATATATAAGGAATTCAATAAATTTAACAATTAGCGAATTATTAGTGAAAAAGGTATTTAATGGGCAATGTTTGAATTAAACATAACCAAAAAAAAAAAAATGTTTGAATTAAAATTGTAATATAATCAAGTGTAATATGTTAGATTTACGATTCAATGTATTTTTTATAAATTAAAATTGTATTTTTTTCATTATTTTAGTTGGTTATTTTTGTACATTAAGCAGCACAAATAAATTATTCCCAAAACGGAATTTGGTTTTAACGTGCCAAAACAGACAGCGCTAAAAATGGACTTCCAAAAATAAAGTTATTCCCAAAATGAAACTTTCCTAAAACGGAAAAATCACTAATTTGAAGGCCTAAACAAAGAAATTTGGCTAAAATCCACCGTTCACCATCGCTGAGGACGGCAATGATTTTAATTTAAAATGCCGTTTCCAATCAGAATACAAAATTTGAGATAATTCCGAGCTCGTCTCAAAAGTTAAAAATTGAATCCAAACATGAATTTCCTGTTTTTTAACACTCCATACCCAAGAAACTTTTGTGCCACGTGTCACAACATGATAAGTTGTGACTCGCAAGAAGTTTACTACCCGTCGAAAGACAAGGCCCTCCCTTAATCTCCATGTTTTACCAGTCAATTATGAATAATTTAAGCATGAATTAATTTTCAAATCTAACAACTCTGCCCTCATTTGCATATATAGTAGCTGCCTAAAGTTTCATCTTCTTAGATTCATCTGAGCCTTTTGAATTCATCTAATTTGCAATATATATCATATTTTGGCCATGAGTCCCTACTACTACAACCAACACCAAGCCACAGGTAAATTTTGAATTAACAATTGAGTGCATACATTCTATGTGGCAACTTCTATAAGGTCTCTCGCCAAAGAAGAAACTATGTTTATGTATATTAATCTAATGAGTATTGAGACCACACCAATCACTGAATGTTAAGTACTTTTCACAAGTACATATATATCTATAATCCACCAATTGATCCAAGTCCCCAACAAAAAAACAAAACAAAAGAACTAGTAAATAAATGGTCAGTACAAATGTAAATATATGGTTTATGCAGTAGTGGTGGCAATAAGTTTTTTTTTGTGTTGATTTTTGTAGGGGTACACCCTCCACCATCTGCTCCATATCCTCCACCTTCTATGTATCCCTCACAAGCCGATGTCTATGCTTCACCTCCACCACTAGTAGCTTATTCTCCTTTGGTGGCCAGAGTATTTAAAAATGAGCTTCTATTTGTTTTTCTTTTCTTTTCCCTTTACTTTTTTGGTACAGGAACCAACAATGAGCTTAATTTGATAATTAAGCATTTAATCGAAACAAATTCTAAAAAAATCAGTGACTTGTCTCTGTCTTCTAAAGGAGGAAATCCACATGTTTTCACCTACATAATATGTACAGGAAATGGAACATTATTATGTTTCAGGAATTTAATGGCTAAATGTCAAGATTTTTCTGATAATCCTTGTTTTCGCCAAAAATGCTAATTTGTTTTATAAATACTCAAAATAGTATCGGTCTAATGAGATTTTTCTTAAGTTTAGACGCATGAAGCATGAAAAACTGAATACAGGTATAAACAAGCCCTTACATTCATCCTCAAGGGAAAAATGAAAAAGAAAAAAAAAAAGAAGTCAAATAATGCTAGTTTCAAATTTCAAAATCAAATATGAGTATGCACAAAGAAAACAAGTGCAAAGGGGAAAAAATAAACACTAACCTGAAATATACCATCCAAGAACATCTCACCTTCAGATAAAACTATAGTGTTTTCTAAGAAAAAACCTGTTGTTATCTTGTATTGCATGTTAAACAAAATTATGAGGTTGTAAAGCATAATATGCCCAACAATAAACGAATCCAAAAGCATATGACTAATATACAGTATCCCCCTTACATACTAAAAATGAAATTAACTTCAGAATCAATTAATTTCACCAAATTCAATGGAAATGAACTGTCCCAGCATGTTGTCCAAGAGTGAGAAAAGAGACAGATTGCTAGTGATAGAAAGAATACAATTGAGAAACAAGGGTTTTACTCAGTTTGGTATCAATTCAATTCATAGTTGAACCATGTCCAAGATGTAGAATGTTATTAGCAATTTACACAACTATGATAAAAACCCCAAAACAACTTCAAAATCAATAGAATGAAAAATGATTAAACATCATAATTCAAAGAAAAGCAAATGGGGTTTTCTTCAATCCACGTCAATCAAATTAATTACAAGAGGCAAAAACTACAGGCTTAGCAAATTCAAGGTGAAGAAACTCTTGACAGGTTGAACAATGAAGGGGCAAAGATTTGAGAAGTTGGAAATTATAGTTAGGGTTTGAAATTGGGGGAACGAGAGAGAGAGAGAGAGAGCATGTTTACCTGATGCAAGAGGTCTGAAATCGAGAGGATTAGCAATGGTAGAGTGTAGGCGGCTCCACGGACTGCTATCGAACTTCCTTCATCTCTCCACCGAACCCCACTGCTGCTTCAACGCTGCTCCTGTTTCGTTTCGTGTTAGCCACCTTCTTCGAGTTTGCTCTCTGCCTTGGTCAGTTTGTCGCCGACCTCACGGTGGGGAAACAGGGCCGTGCCACCATGGCTTGAGACATTTTTGGTGGTGGTGATTTTGAATGGTGGCTTAGGGTTTGTGCTGGTGTGAATGGTAGAGAAAAAGAGAAACAAATGGAGAGCCAGAGAGATAGAAACATAGAGTATTGTTTTTTCAATATATATATATATATATATATTTGGGGTGTTTGGGGCGTGACTTTTTTTTTCCCCCTACTTGTTTTTTTGTTACATCTTTCACGGCAGCAATTGCATCTCGTGAAAAAGTCTAATATTTTAAACGGCTGACTTTTTATGTGTCGTGAAAAGTAAAATTTTTAATAGTTGACTTTTTGTGTGCTATGAAATGTTTAATATTTCAGTAATGCTAGGTATCATGAAAAATCTTTCATGAAAATAATCATGAAGGCTTTGTGACCCTTGGATTACACTTAGAATAAAGCACCGCACACTAATCGAGGTAATCCAAGGATTATAAATCTTTCATGATCATTTTCATGAAAAAAATTTCATGATCCCTAACTTTTCTCTTAATATTTTCAATAGCTAGTGTCCGTATGTCGTTATAGTTAATGTATTAATGACATGCCATATGTACGTCATAAAAAGTTTTATTATTTACGGCTAACATTGCAAGCCGTAAAAAAATCTTCGTTATTAGCATTCACGACCTACACAATAGACACGTCATGGTTGGGAAATTATTGACAACATGCAAAAAAAGCAAGTCGTAAAAGTGAGAAACCACAACTTGCATTTATTGTATGTCGTTGATGTGAAACCGTAAAAACCCAGTTTTGTTATAGTGATTTGGGGTCTGATGGAGAGAGAGAGAGAGAGTGTGAGGGTTTTGAAGAGTTTTTGCAAGAGAGAGAGAGAGGAGGGTTTGGGATTTGGGGTCTGATGGAGAGAGAGGGTAGGGGTTTGAAGAGTTTTGCAGAGACATGAAATAGAGAGAGAGAGAGAGAGGGAGAGAGAGAGAGAGAGAGTGTGTGATAGAGAAAAAGTGAAAGGGTTTTGTTCATAGTTATGGCTCAAAACAACGTCATTTTGGGATTTCAACACCCAGCATTCACGCTTTATATATAAGGATCGATTTTCTAATTTTTTAAAATTACTCATATCCTTTGTAAAGTTATATAAAATTGATAAATGTTTTTAATTTTTTAAATTTTTTTACAAAACTAATTTTTAGTCTTTTAAAAAAAATCTTAAACAAGTTTCAGAAAATTAAATCAAATATGACCACCAATAAAACGGACAATTTTTTTTTTCTTTTTTAAATCCTAAGAGAAGTCTGAAAGTTTAGAGATGAGCGAGAAAAAGGAAGGGGGTGGAGAAGGGTGCGAAGGTAATTAGGGATTAAGTTTTTGCGACGAGTTTAAGGACCATCATTAATGAGCAAAATAAAATCTTTTGCGACGGATTAACAAAAGGCGCTAAAAAAAAGAAAAAAGAAAAAAGGGGGCAGGTAATGTACCGTCGCGTATAATATTACTTTTTGTCATGGCCTTGGATTTTCTGTCTCTAATAATGGTATTTAGTCGATGCCTTTTTCGCAACAGTCAAATGCCGTCGCAAAAAAATTAATTTAGCGACGATTTTTTTTGCAGTCACAAAATCTTGCTTTTTGCGACGATTTTCAAACCGTTGAAAAAAGTTTCATGTCTAAAGCCTTTTTTTCTAGTAGTGAGTCGTCCTCTGTCATTCATGGATAGAATAGAGGCGTAGATTTGGGAAT